CCCATTGAATATGTGCTTTGGGTCAATAACCCGGTTTTGAAAAGTCGTATTTCCCAGCAGACACTTACTACTCACACCCAGCCCCAAATTCAGATATTTCTGTCTGATTCCAATTCACATGCAACTATTTCTTTTTCTAATTCGTTAGTCCAGCACACTGCCTAAAAATTACTCTTCCAAAATGGACCATTCTCCTCCAAACCACTTTAATTAAGAAATTTCCCCCACCCTTCCACGACTGTATGAGCATATAAATAATATTTAACTAAATTACAACCCATGTAGCTTTAACAAGAATGAAAGGGTTTTTTTGCCCAGAGGCTCCAAATGTTCCCCCCAATTTTTATGGCTTGCTGGTGAACATTTAACTTTTCAAAATATATTTAGAAGGACATTTTAAAGAGCTTAATTATATAATTCCCCTGCCTGAACAGGAAATCATTTCCTTCTAAATATTGTGTTTTGTCTGTTCTGAATTTATGGCAAATCACAGAGCGCTTGTTTTTTTATTGTGACCCAGAACTTGACCCAGCGTGGGGGAGTAGCCCTCAGACTGGACGTAGGGCGCGATGCTCTAATGGACCACACGGGGGCAGGCTTTGCTTTATTGTGAGCTCATTCTGCTGACCCGGTCATCAGCGTGGCTAACTGTGAACCTTACAAATTCCAGAAAAGCTTCACGACCCCAGAGTGAATGAGTAATCAGAGTGTGTGTGCTTGGGCAGTGGAATCTCTAGTGCTTTAACCAAGAGAGACTTGAGCCTTTGTACATGGCATTATCTACAGCACACAACAATAACTCTTGGGACACCTGTGATCTTTGGAGCTTGTTTCAAAGGAGCAGAGAAGGACTGTGAAGAAATGATGGATTCGGTGGCATCCGAGAAGCTGATATTGAATCAAGGTGGCAAATAACACACTTGGTTTTTGCCAAGTAGACACTGTCACTGTCAAAACATCACACACACACACACACACACACACACACACACACACACACACACACCCCTAGAGTTGGACCATGAGTTTTTTTTTTTTAGAAAGTTTGAGCATTCTATATCTCACAACTTTCTTGTGTATTATTTTGGAGTTTTCCTGCAAAGGTATCTGGTTTGAACTGGCGTTATAACTGAAGTCAAAGGATCAGGTGGTCTTGGTGGGATTCTAAAGCATGCCACTTGTTTTTTTTTTTTTTTTTTGGACAAGTTGGGGCTGGTTTGCCTGCATAAATAATTGACCAACTCACCCAACTCCACAACCACCCCCATGTTGACTCATCCACCAGCCTTGCACTATCAATTCCCAACTATATCTCCCAGAAGCTGCAGCTAAAATTCATGAAAACATGGTCCCCATGGCTGAATACTCTGGAGTGCTCTCTGGAGACAGGTGGGCAGAGAGCCGTCCTGCTGAACTCCCAACAGCCACATTCATCTCCCATCACTGCAGCCACGCCAAGAGCTCAACTCCATTGCTTCACTAATATCCTCTACAGAGATGCTAAACTGCGAATAATTTCAGGTACCCCAGTGCCCAGTCTAGAACTCTGAGGTCTTCTCGGAATGAGGATGGGAAGTCTCCCCCCAAGGCCCCCTATTTCCCAAACCACAACGACTCATTGGCCCAAACCATAGATCCTAAAGTTACTGGACCTCAATGCCTCCTAATTACTCAATACTGAAATTCCAGTAGAACACCAAAATTAGATGGGAAAGTAACATAGAAGTCGCTAAACCCAACAAACAGACAGACAAAAAACACAGAATGTTCAATTAGCAACAAAGAGCTTAATAAATTTTTAGACAAGGACTTAACAATCCCATGATCAGATATACTAATTTTCACATTAAAATTTGATTTTTTTCATACTTACTGATTTTAATATTGCAGCTTTGTTATCTAGTCAATTTCAATTCTAGAATTATATCAACAGTTATGGTTTTATCTACAGTAAAATAAATTTAAAATTTTTAAAAATAATTTGCCAAGCGATATGAGGTTTTAAGACATCAGATAGTGGGAGGTATGTGTGTGGTGTGGGGGGAGGTTCATGATAGTGGGGTCTTAATTGCCTCTCCTTTGCTCCAGATCTTCCAGCACTGGGAAAAATAGGCGTCCGTCCCGGGCAAAACAAACATGGAAGAAAAGTCTCCTCTCTTCGTCTAGGGTTCCATGGGTTAAAGTTCTGTAGGACATCAAAGCACTCAGAACCGGAAGGACAGGCTGTCGTTAATTTCATTGCAGAGATAAAATCTTCACTATCTGGTGTTTTATCCAGCATCTGATAAAACAGAGGCCAGAGGCCTTGAATTTATTTATTTTTTTAAGCTACCTTGAAATTGGTGTACTCATTAAAATATATATGTATGAAATACTGCAAGTCGGCAGGGTGACGTCGAAACAGGTCTGCCTTGGCTTCTACCTTTACATCAGGGGGAGTCATGATGCTGTGTGTGTGTGTGTTGCGTGTGTATGTGTGTGTGTGTGTGTGTGTGTGTAGGCTGAATTGGCTCTTTCATACATACACAGTCATTAACTGCTTCCATTGTATGAGTACTTAAAGTATTATTAGTACTCTAAGCACACACTGAAAAATAGGGAAGTATATAACCTGACTTCTGGAAGCTTCAAGTTACGCATGGAAGAAAATGCCACATCACCATTACCTCACTGACTTCCTTCTTCCTCAGTGTTCAACAAATGGGCCTAACCCAGAGATACTGGGATCATTTCAGTGAGCTGAGACCAGGCCCCTTCTCCCTGAGGCAGCTATAGTGCAGCGGGGAGGGAGCTTGCCCAGCAAGCAGCCAAACCCACCAGGAGTGATCCCCAAGTGCAGAACCTGGAGTAAGCCCTGAGCACCATGAGGTGTAGCCAACCCCACCACCCCACATCAAAAAACAGAAAATGAACCCACAGAAAAAAGAGCCCTCCTTGTTGGCCATCCACTAGAAATAACTCTCTCCCCATATCCTCTTAACCCTCTTAACCTTAGACTTTGGGAGCACCTGAGAAAGGGGTCTCAGTTTCCTACCTGTACAATAGAGAACCAGGAAGTAAGAATTCCTTAGAAACTCGGAAGCATGTGGAAACATCAGTTTATTAAGGAATTATTTTCAAATGTGATGTCATTATTATGTCACCTGTATACAGCTATATCCCAATATATGAATATGTATTTCAGTATATGAACTTCAAAAAGATGGAAATTGATTCTCAGAAATTACAAAATCAATAGCTCCTAACAAGGAAATGCGAACCTTTCAAACTCTGTTTGTTGCCTCTTTAACACATTTGCTATTTCTTATTATTGTGGGCTAAGAATTATTCCCCAGGAATATTAAAAATAATGTTGATGCCTTAGCCAGAGAGCTAGTACAGGAGTTAAGGGATTGCCTTGCATGTAGCTGACAAACCCCGGTACCACACATGATCTCCCAAGCACCTCCAGGAGTGATCCCTGAGCACAGAGCCAGGAGTTAAGCCTGAGCACCACCAGGTATGACTCCAAACTAAATAATAATAATAACAACAATGATGATGATGATGATTTCTGATTAAGACACAAATTAATGTCAAAAAATTTTACAATTATAAAAGAATTTATTTTGCAACACTGCTAATAGAGTCCAGTTCACTTCTTTTTTTTTTTATTTGCTTTTGGGTCACACTCAGGGATGCTCAGGAATCATTCCTAGCTCTGCACTCAGGCATCATTCCTGGCGGGGTTCAGGGAACCACATGGGATGCCAGAAATTGAACCCAGGTCGGCCACGTGCAAGGCAAATGCTCTACCTGCTGTACTATCACACCTGCCCCAAAGTTCATTTCTGTAAAACCACTTCTTTGAAATCATAAGTTACAATCATTTTATTTTTCTTATACCGTGGATAGAAGTACATAAAGTGATCTATTCATTTTCTTTAAGGTTGAATTTTCTCCCATCATTGAAAAATACACCCATATAATGCTCAGTGATATTTCCTGGATTTATTTGCATAACAGTCAAATGTAAGTAAATACTAATTTTTTTTATTCTACAAGTTTATTTTACCTCTGTATTTGTTAAAATGCATTCGCCACTCATTTATTATAATGTTATAAAATGTTATTTCTCTTACATGAACTACAAACTTAGAAAATTATTTCCCTTAGGAGCACATTATAAAACATAATATTTGGGGGAAAGCTACATGCACTACAGATAAAAAGTAGTTAAGTAGGAACAATTTCTCTTTATTTTTTTACTTAGAACGGATCTTGCTTTAAACAAATCCTTTGAAACTATGACATATGAAAATTCTGATATACCTACAAGATAAGCTAGATGTGGTTATTAGCTTTATAGAATCATTTATAAAGGAGCTCGTCTATAAAAAGTCACTTCCCCTGGTACTTTTAACAAGCAATCGATTATCCCCAACTTTTTCAGAGCATATCTACCGTTCATAATTATATCTTCATTTTCTGCAATTCTCTTTAGGTATCAACACAGAATGGAGGGGGCGAGGGTCAGCTCCATGGTAAAGGGTTGACCTCGGAAGCATGAGATGCTGACTTTTACCCCAGCACCATAACACACACCAAGGAAGAGTGTTGCTTCAGCACCACAATTAAAGCACGAAACTCTGCCCAGCTCTGCAGACAGATGCTGTGTGTGTGTGTGTGTGTGTATGTGTGTGTGCGCGCGCGCCCACACCATGGCTTAGTGTGCAAGTACTGTTACCCAGTGTGTGGGACCCGAGGTCACAACAGTCACAGCAAAAGAGAATTGAAGGATGAAGGGAGGCAGGTAAGAAGAAACAAGCAAAAGAAAGAACAGCAGTCCTGAGTTCAAAGCCCGAACCTTCCATGCTAATGGGAAAATGTTGAATTTTCTATGAATGCTATTCAATGTCACTGCGGCTAAAGAAAAAACAATTCTCGTCTCCTCGACCCAGTGTGAGGCTGCCGAAGAGGTGCTGGGTCAGCAGGGATGCGCATCGATCTCTCCTCTCCCATCAGGCGTATGCACCTGGGGCTTCCCCAGTGTAGCTCCTGCTGTTCAGCTGCGTGTCCAGGAGGGCCGGGAAGCCCCGCCGACGTCGTCTGGACAGGATGGGAAGCAGCAGCCCCAGACTGCCCAGGGCCACCAGCGCGCCCACCAGCACTGAGAGCGTGGCTGCCCAGCCTGGGGTCTCCGCACCTGCAATCAAAGCACAAGAGAAGCGTCTGTGATGAGGACATTCATAGCTGCATTGTTTGACGCAAAGAAAGAAAAAGCCCATTTGCCTTTGCATGTTTGAGGAGAAAGCTATATATACATTTTTGTTTTGTTTTCTACCCAGCCATGCCCAGGTTTGCAGGGGCTGGAACCATAGTACAGCAGGTAGGGCAGTTGCAATCCCCCACATAGCCAGGAGTAAGCCCAAGCACCATGGGGCATACCCTTCATACCTAGCCCCCCCTAAAAAATACTTCTTTTAAAAATACTATGTTTCCTGGTAGAAAATGTGATCTCTTCCCTTCCAACTATTTACCACGGCCAGGATGTTTTTCTTGAGGCAGTGGAAAGTAGTTTCCTATTATTTAAATACACTTTCTGGCATTAAATATTTATACAGCAAAAATTTATACAGAGTTTTTTTTCTGACTTTTTGAGTCACACTTGGTGATGCTTAGGGGTTATTCCTGGCTCTGCACTCAGGAATTACTCCTGGTGGTGCTTGGGGGATCACATGGGATGCCAGAATTTGAACCCGGGTTGGTCACATGCAAGGCAAGTGCCCTACTCACTGTAGTATCTCTCTGGTCCCCATTTTTGGTTTGGTTTGGGGGCCACACCTGGAAATGCTCAGGGGTTACTCCTGGCTCTGCACTCAGGAATTACTCCTGGTGATGCTCCGGTGACCATATGGGATGCTGGGGATGGAACCTGTGTCAGCAGCATGCAAAGCAAGTGCCTTACCTGCTGTACTTGAGAAGGAGAAAGAGAGAGAAGAAAGGTAGGGGTGGGGGCTGGGGGTGATGGGAGGGAAACTGGGAATACTGGGAATACTGGTGTTGGGAATGGGTGTTGGAACACTGTACGACTGAAACTTAATCATGGACAGCTTTGTAAGGGTCTATCTCACAGTGATTCAATTTAAAAATCTTTAAAAAATTATTATACAGAATGACCCCTTCAGGGAAGTATGTAATGCCTTTATCTCTCCACCCTTGAAGAAGCTCGAGTTCTCTCTTGAGCACATTTCTTTCTCTTCCTCTCTCTCCCTGCCCCACTCCCTGTCCCTCTCTCTCTCGTTCTCTTTCTCTCCCTCTCTCCCTCTACACCTTCAAAAACCCTTCAAATATAATCTGTTTTGAAGAAGAAGGAGGAGGAGGAAGAGGAGGAAAAGGAAGAGGAGGAAAGAGGAGGAGGAGGAAGAGGAAGAGGAGGAAAAGGAAGAGGAGGAAAGAGGAGGAAGAGGAGGAGGAGGAGGAGGAGGAGGAGGAGGAGGAGGAGGAGAAGAAGAAGAAGAAGAAGAAGAAGAAGAAGAAGAAGAAGAAGAAGAAGAAGAAGAAGAAGAAGAAGAAGAAGAAGAAGAAGAAGAAGAAGAAGAAGAAGAAGAAGAAGAAGAAGAAGAAGAATTCCTTTGTAAAGGTTCTTTTTTATGGTTTCTGGTAGGGGCAGTGTGCTGTGGAGATCACTCAGAGGATCTCTCAAAGTACATACTGGTGCATGTACTTTGCATGCAGGAGGTGTGGGTTCCATCTGAGTACCACATGGTTCTCCAAACACTAGTAGGGGCTCAATCCCTTAGCACTAAGCTGGGCATGGCTGTGTGTGGCCCCAAAGTAAAATAAAGCAAAAATGTACATAATAATATATATACATCAAGAAAATTCAGCACTTAGAGTGAGGAGGGGTTGGGAACCGGCTGTGTTGGCTGGAGCATACAGATGCTATGCATGCAGAAGGTCTGGATTTAACACTCCCACCCCCTAACAGCAAGCTAGGAGTAGCCCCTGAGCACCATTGGGTATAGCTCAAAAATGGGCTTGGGTGGGTGCTAGTGGTATATAAAAAAATAAAATAAATGGTCTCTGGGAAAATGACAGATATATATATATACTATATATATATGTATATATATATATTATATAATATGTGTGCTTCTCAGGTAGAGAAATTCTGCTATTACCTCTCCTTTCTTTGTGTGGTGAGAAATGTCTGAAGTCTATCAGATAGGTTATTATACCAGAAAGGATTTCATAACAGAAGCAGATAATATCTGTACCCACTGAAATAGCTGTGAATAAAAATCTTAACTTTCCATATGATAAATAAAATCCTCTCCTCAGATATCTTTACAAAGGATCTTCCACAACAGAAGTGGGCTTCATTTTTAGTAGATCTAGGTCAACGTGACATTTCTTTCAGAACGCTAACGTGGTCTCATACACAGAGTCTGAAATTCCATTTCTCTGAACTAGGCTCTTGTCTCTACACAACACTTCAAGTGGAAAAGTCTCCGTCTAGTTTTCCAGTCTTGCAGAGACTCTGACCACTCCAAGGGGTGTCTCCAACTGTGTCCTCTCCTGCTCCAGTCCACCATCTATTTCCAGTCTTGTCTCCTTGATACGGTGGGAACTGATTTGACCATCTTGACCACTGACTGGTTGTATTTTCTTTCTGGGGGTGGGGGGAGAGTCACATCTGGCGGTGCTCAGGGGTCAGTCCTGGTGGTGCTTATTGTCACAGGATGCCAGGAATCTAACTTGGACCAGGTCAACATTTGCAAGATTCCCACTAGTTCATCCTAGTTCTTTAACACTGGTTAGTTGTACCTGTGAGCGTGTGCTCCGGCCATTGAGCTCTCCCTGACCCCATCTTGACCGTTGCAAATGCCCACCTCAGTGGCATTCAGCCCATGCACATTTTTCATTGTTGCACAAACATGTTCTCCACAGAACTCCTCTCTTGTACGAAACTAATATGGTGACTCCCTATTATCCCAACGAGTCTCTGACACTGACCACGGCCATTCTAACTCTCTGTCTCTATGAATCCAACTACTCTGGGGACTTGATAGAAGTGGAGAGCTACCAGTTTTGTCCTTTCATGAGTGGCTTGATTCACTTCACACGAAGCCTCCAAGATTCACCCATCTCGTGGCCTGTCACAGGGCCGGCATCCTCTGTAAAGTGGAATAATCTGCCATTGTATGGTTTCTCCACGATGGGTCTGTCCATTCATCAAGGCCTGGGTGCTTGGACAGTTTCCACCTTTTATCTATTATACACTTGCTACCATGAGCAGGGGTAGACAATCAGCTCTTTGAGACCTCTGCTTTCAATTCTGTGGGGTTTATACCCAGAAGGGGAACTGCCGGAGGCTAGGAGAGGTCTACATTTTGGAGAAGCTGTCATAATATTTTGCAATCGGGATATCATTGACTTCCCCACCAGCAGGGTACTCGAGCAGGGCCTAATATCTCCCCATCCCTGCTCACACAGGTGAAGGTCTGCATCTTCGTGACGTCCCACCAAAGCACACAGGAGGCTGTCTCATTGCAAATTCTGTCTAGCTTCTTGTTTCTGTCTAGGTCTCTGAAACCAGGCCCTTCTCAAACACCCAATCTTAACTCATGGTTGTCTTCGCCTGGTGCTTTGCACCAGAGCTTGGCTTCCTTCTCACACTCTTCTTGAGAGGTGCTCAAGCTAATTTGAGTTCCTGCCCCCTTTACAGAAAGAGAAAATAAATCAGTCCACATCTGGCTAAAAATCTCCTTCCTTTCTGATAACAAACAGAAAGTGCCCCTCCATCATACCTGAGGCAACAACCATGTCCCTGGGTCCATCCAGGGGACCCTTGAGGGCAATAATAAAACGACAAATGGAACTACAACAGGGGCCTGGGAAAGATAAAAATGTGTGACTGAAACTCATACATGAAAGCTTTGTAACTGGATCTCACGGTGATTCAATAAAAAAAATTTTTTTTAAATGTGTCTTCTTTATAGGATACACCCTACCCATACTCCAAAAGTACCGCACCACACCACATTTGATGGGGTTCACAGTAGTAGGCAACAAATCTTAGAGGGAAATATTTACAGATATATATACAAAAGCACACAAGGCTCCACCTTTAGCAACATGTTAGTGATCTCTTACAGAAGGTCTTAATGTCCCCTGTTGAAATAGAACAATCTTTACTCTTTTTCCTCTAAGGATACTTTTTTGTAGCATCTTCAGCAGTTTTTCATAACAAACAATACAAAATACATTATTTGGGTTCTGCTCTGGGACAGGGATTGGGGTTCAGGATGGAAATATCTGAAACATGGTGGTGGGAAGGTGTATTGGTGATGGGATTGGCGTTTGAATATTAATGTAATCAAATATTGTGAACTACCTTATAAAATAAAAGAAATTTTAAAAAAATGTGCATCTTCTGTACAGACTTCTTGGGGATGGGGGGGTACCCAAGAGATGTTGAGGAAACTAAAGGGTTCTCCTGGCAATTTTCAGCCAATCTTTCATTACCAGGGTTCAAGGATGCAGTGCTGTTTAGGCTACAGGAACTATGTCGAGATTGAACTGAGGTCATCCTATTGCTGAGCTTGTACTTCAGCCCTAGCTCTTCAATTCCTAGATTCACTTTCAAAATATCCTCTGCTCTCTTGAACCAAGTGGTAAAGGCTAATTAAAATGGATACACTTAAAAAAGAATTACTCAAAAGCCAGAGAGATAAGCCAACGGGATAAGTTCATGCTTTGCACATAGGAGGGTTCAATCCTTGATGTGGCATGGTCCCCCAAGCAGCACTGAGAGAGACTCTCAGGCACAGAACAGAGAGATGCCTGCTGAGTGCTGTTGTATATGGCTGTTGTATAAAGCATAAAAATAAATGGATAAAATCATTACTTTAAAAAATATTATTGTAAAATAAAAACAATCAGCAGGCAAACTGGCATTATTAACCTTGCACAGGTTAACCTGTCAGGGGTGGTATGACTTCACAGGAAAAAAAAATAATGTTTATTATAAGATAATAAGGCATTAACCAACCAACCAACAGCTTGCCTTTACTTAAAATTTTGACCATCAGCATGGATTGGGGGTATAATTTACATTGCATGATATTATTGTCTTAATGGCTGATTTTTTGGTCTCTCCTTGAATTTTGAGCTCAAGACAAGGGCTGCACTTATCTATCCTAAACCCAGCCCGACTTAAAAGCAGTCAACTCTAAGTCCTGCCTTTGCCCACTCCGGGCTTGTGTGTTTTTTACTTCATCAGTGATCTGGTGATTCAAACACCAGCCCATAGATCTCTGCTGGTGCACAGATGTAGAAAAGTTAAGAACTACTGGTCTATCACCTTGATTATAACTACTAGTGTGAGGACCAATCTACAGGACAGGTGCTGGTCCACAGTTGTAAAAACATCTAAGACTGCTGACTTAGCTACTTCAAATCATGGTCAGCTCTTTGTTCATTTGGGAAGAATTACAAAACCAGATGTAGCAGGAGCTAGATCCTCCACCGAACAAAGTCTCCTAACAACTCTCAATTTTCTAAACCAGTCATGCGCCCAGGCCAACCCTTTCCTCATGTTTAATTGCCAGTTTAAAACTCATATCTAAAGGTGACATATATTTTAGAAAATTGCCAATAAACTTAATAAGCTTTGAATGTAGCCATTTAAGATCCTGGTTTACATTTTGGAAAACAAAAAAAAAAGAACCAATGAAAACATCTTTGGAAGATAAATGAGTCACCCATTTAGAAGTTTTGTTAGTCACCTGGCAGGTCAAGGGCGTAGCTATAGCCAAGTTGGTCTGCGGTTAAAAAGAATTCCTCATTAGTCACTGGAGGGAAGAAAGGCACCATGTTGTACAGGCGGTTGTGACCGATGGGCGCCAACTCCTGAGGCCAGGCATTTTCTGAAGGATTGAATCTTTTCATCCACTCATCAAAAACGGCATCAGTAAAGGAATGAAGTACCTGCAAGACAGTTGAAGATGGTATCTAAGGTTGACAGGTCTAATCCAACTCACCTGGAACTTTCTCTAACATAAAATAAGGTTTTTGTTTGTTTGTTTGTTTGTTCATTTTACTTAACAAAAGACAGTGCTCAGGGCTTACTCCTGGCAGTGCTCAGGAGACTATATGTAGTGCCATGGATTGAACTAGAGTCAGTGACTTGCCAGGTTAGAGCTCCCTATCCACCATACTTTCTCTCTAATCCAGAACAGAACTCTTCTTGACATAAAACACTTTCATCTACTCAGTTTAGTTTTAGCAAGATGTTCCTGGCATTTAAGTTAGTTGTTTGGGTTTGATGGCCACGCACAACTGGACTCAGAGCTTTTTCCAACTTGGAGCTTGGGAGTCGCTACCAATGGTACAGTAGGGACCATACAGTGCCAGTGATTCAACTCAGAGCCTCACACACAAGGCAAGTGCTCTCCCTCAGGACTACCACCCCAGCTGCATTACTTTTTTTTTAGTTGGTTGATTTGATTTGGGATCCTCACATGGTGGTGCTCAGGGCTTACTCCTGACTCTGCACTTGTGTACAACTCCTGACAGTGCTCAGGGGACCATATGGGTACTGGAGATAGAGCCCAGGTTGGCCATCTTCAAAGAAATCACCTTCCCTGCTGTATTATTGCTCTGACACTTCCTTTACTTATTACTCAAGGATGTCTGGCTTATGCGTCCCAGCAGAGTTGTAAACACCATTGTCAAGTGAACATGTAGAAACTCACATTGTAGATTTCCTATTGATTTAGGGACTTTAAAGGTTTTCAACAAATGCATGTTTAATGACTTTTGAGAAGAGTAAGTTGCATATTCCAGGCAAATTTCAATGATTTTTGTCTTAACAGAAGAAACAAGCTATGTTTTAGCAGACTTGATATGCACAGGACAAGAGGTGGGAGAGGGAAGGAGAGAGGGAGGAAGGGGATGTGAAAGAGGAAGAAAAATATCCAGAATGGTTTTCAAGTTTCTTCTCACCTAAAACACCCAGAATTCTATGCTTGAAAATTGTAACCCTCTCATTTGAGTTCTTGGCATTGTGTCAGGAAAAGAAACTCCAAAAATTTTGTTCTATGCATATCACTCATTATTTTTCCAAGGTAACTATTAATTCCTTGTCAAGTTCATAAATTATTATTATTAAAATAATACTAACAACACACCAGTAAGATTGACATACATCAAAAAGAAAAAAAAAACAGTGTTGAATGGTGTGACAAAGGGTGTGGCAAAAGATTTTTGCTCTTATTGGTGGGAATACCACGTGGTAAAGCTTTTTGGAAAACAATATAACATATTTCATAAAACCTAAAAATTGTGCTTCCATGTGACTCAGAAATCCCACTTTTTACCATATATGCCAAGGGTCAAAAACACTATTTTGTAAAAATATTTTCACTTCTATATTCACTGTAGCATTATTCACAATAGCCAAAATCTGGAAAAACCCTAGTGTCCAAAAACAGATGACTGAATTTTTAAAAATCTCTCTCTCACACACAAAGTGAAATACACTTGACTATAAAAAAAAGATAAGATCATGCAATTTTCCTCTATATGGACAAATTTGGAAAGTATCATCATGCTGAGCAAAATCGGTCAGGAGTCGAGGGACAAATATAGAACGGTCTGTCTTATATGTGGGACGCAAAGAAGTATAGTAGGGGAATAACAAATAGACAAAGGCAACAGAACATGAGAACTGGTCTACAGAATGGAGCTGACTATAGTAGGTAAACACTGATATTAGGGTTGAGGAACTAGGATACTCTGGAGGAGGATGCGATATTGGAAAGTTGCCTGCATGGAACCCTATTATATACACATCATGGTATCTCAAACAAAATTTTTTTAAATATTTATTAATAGCAAAACACCCACTTATATAGACCAAGAACTGCAATAGGATGTCAATGTAAGTTCCATCTTCTATTCCTAGCAGAGAGAGCTCTTCCTTCACCCCTAGATGGGAAGTTCAAGGATCTCTGATGATGTCGTGCTTCCTATCACTGTGTGCCCCTGATACCTGTCATCCCAAGACCTGGACCATAGGGGCCGGGACACATTTATTTCAATCAACACTTGTTCAATGAATTAATTCAGCCACTCACCACACTGCCTTCCTTTGCAGCAATTGCACTATCCTGTGTTTGTTTCTCTATTTCTCCGAATAAGATCCCTCACACCTAGCAGTCAGTGATAAGGACTTTTCGCCTTTAAAGACTTGAGCTAGGCATGCAACTGGAAGAGACGGGCTAGAGTGACAGTACAGTGGGTAGAGCTTTTGCCTTGCATGTGGCTGACCCCAGTTCAATCCCTCCCCCCATATGACCCTGAGCCTCACCAGGAGTGATCCCTGAGCTCAGAGCCAGGAGTCTCTGAACCAGGGCTCTGAGCTCTGAACTCAGGGCACCTCTGGGTGTGCTTCCCCCCAATAAAAAAAAATGGAGGGTCCATGCTGAGGAAGAATATATTATCTGATAAAGTGTCATGCAGAGTAGTTTTATTTCTAATAAAATTCAACACAACAGGGTCCTTCCTAGACAATGTCACATCCTCAAGCCTGCCTGGCCAAGCAAGCTTTAAACCTGCTATTCTCTGGCACTAGTTTTGCAAAGACCTGTTTTATGCTCCTACCCCTGATTGCGCCCAGCCAGAATTCCCTTTTCTCTACATTGATTCATTGCTGACATTGCATTGTCCCTCTGGTTTGCAGGATAAAAAAAGCGATGAGACTTTCTGGAACCAGAATGCTCCAGGTTTAATTCTGCAAGTTGCAAATTACTTGGGGAGTGTGTCAGAAATCACTCGTGCAAAGTATATTGCCGGTATCTATGTAACAAATAACATGTTTAAGTCTTTCCTAAGATTTCTGCCTGAATTGCCTCACGTGGCTATATTTGAAAAAGTGAAAAGAATCAACACATTTACAGAAGCAAATTTTTCCCCCGAGAAAATGCTTAAAATTTATGACAGAGACAAATTAGAAATCCAAACTGCAATAGCTCAAAGACCTGAGCAAGAAAAGAGACACAAGTTTTTTAATTCTAAGATCTTGGCTTTGAGTAACAAAGATTGAAGGCATAAAGCAAGGCTAAAGCCATAAAAGAGATTTTGATGCATCAGCAACTACTTTGGAAGAGGACATGATCGTGTACACGGTGGTACTTTCCAACAAGTAGAGTTTGGAACATTACGTTGGAGAAGGGGTATTTATCCTTGGAAAGGAGCCAGCATTGGTTGTCAAAGTAGGTTCATTAGAAAGATCCCCCATATCCTGAAACCTGGAAAGTCCTGGTTAGGTTAGTAGTTGAGAGGGAGAGAGAGAAAGAGAGAGAGAGAGAGATGTTATGTTTCATCGTCCAAGTGGGCCCCCAGTGGTCCTGTCAGCCTTGCCCACAAAATCTGCTTCAAGCATGGTACCCAAGTAATAGATCCAGAGGTCTACAGTTGCAAGAAGCACACCTGGTTTCTTGTCCAATGTTCAGTTCCCCCATTCCTCCTCACCAATCTCAACAGTGCCTCAACTGAACCAATATGTCAAGCTATTCCTAAGATTTAACAGGAAGTCACTGGTTTAATCTGAGCAGTTCCTTAAAGGAGGTTGATTTAATAGAAAAGAGTATTTTTCCCTTTCTCTTTCTTTTTCGTTGTTTTCTAGATCATGGATGCAATGGAGCTGCAGCCAACAAGCAAAGTTGTGAGGGAAAGTTTCCCCCTTGAGCTGATGCAATAGCTCAATAGGATGAGTGCATATTTTGCATGCAGGAGGGTCAGGTCAACCTCTGTACCACAGCTCACCAGAAGTCTGTGGCCCAAAAAGCAAGGAAAAAGACTCTCATTAAGGATGCGAGAAAGGATGAAAGTGTTGGATAACTATAACACATTGCCCAGTCCTGGCCTACCTGTCCCTGGGGTTTTTTACATATGAAGAAGATGCACCTCCTTTTGGCTTAAGCTTCTGAAATTTGGGCTTTCTGTCCTAAGCAGCTGGAACAAATTCTAAGTAATGCCCAAAAGAGTATCTAGGGACTATTAGAATGTATTTTCCAAAGAAGGTTGTATAAAGGCTTTTGGCCTTTTAGATCCATTCTAGGATAATTTTCCTTCTCTTCCTCTCTCCTCCTCTCCTTCAGTGCCAAAGACAAAACCCAGATAAGTGCTCTAACACTGAGTCACATCCCGAGCTCTGTGTCCACTCTGTAATCAAGTCCAAGATCAAGCATGATTAGAAAAGAAGATGCAAGAGTCCTGGGACACAGAAGAGACAAGATTCAGTGCTGCAAGAAGTAAATAGCTTCTGGAAAGTACCAGAATCCACCCAGTTCAAAATGTAAATAATTAAGGAGGGCACAAGAGTATAAAGCAATTCATAATTTGGAGAGATAAAAGAACAGGAAAAAATAATGAGGATAGATTATAGGTCTCAGAAGGACCATAAAACATTAAACAATAAGTGCTTGAATGGGCACTATTCACAGAGTATACAGTGTACAGAAAGTAGTCGAAGGAAAAAAACAGCGGGTACGTGCCAAGAAGATGCAAAGGACACAATCATCAAAATGATGTTAACTGCAACATATCCACAGTGGAAAGAGAAAGAGGTCAGCCTGTAAAGGTGTGTTTTTGTTACATTTGTGAACATTGGTCATAGAAGAAAAATAAGGGATTGTATTTGTGGAAATCATGGCACCTGTGGGACTGTGTCCATGACACATGTATTTTTTGGAAAATATATTCTAATAGTCCCTAGATACTTTTTTGTGCAATGGACACAGTTAAGTTCTACTCAGCTCATACATATGTAAATGCAGAAGGTAATGACTGTTATTAATAAAGGCAACAGTGAAGGAAAAGTTTATCATCTGTTGCCTTATATGTGCCAAAGAGATCTACAGCTGTACTTTGGTATTGAAAAATGGAAGCCTTTTGAAATGAGGATACATGTTTTGGTATACCTA